CATCTCCTATTGACTCAATCATTAAAAGTCTTTTAGGGTTTTAATTCATTTTGATGTTTGCTCAGAGGAAAAAAATCCTCAACAACATCAATCAGCAAGAGCTGATGAATTTTTTGTTTTTCAGCAGATGGATGGAGAATAAAATCCAAAAATAAAAAATAACAAAAGAATAATTAAATATATATATATATGTTGCATAAAGACATCAAATTTAAGATTGCAATATTCATGAATCATGATCCAATCCTGAAAATTTTAGTATTAAATTTGGCAGAGAGGAGACATCCAGACAGAAAACAGAAACAAGTAGGCCAACATCAGCCGCTGTCGTCTCTCTTACAATGTATTCAGCCTGTTCTGTCCAAAATTCAATGTCATCCTTCATTCTACTTCCTCCAACAAATCTGTTTATCATCAATCTAGAGGGTTTTCTTAATTATCTTATCAAAACAAAATGTAAAAATAAGAAGGCTATTGATATCGCTTTAATTTTTGTAAAACTTATGTTTGAATAAAGTTTTTACCAAACTCTAAATGTGAACTCACCTAAAATTATTGGAAACGGTTAAATTATTGAATTATGAAGTTCATTCAATTATTACATCCTTAATAAAAAAATAAGAGAATAGTTTTTTTCAATTTAGATTGCACAAACAAAGTGCAATACTTTTATGGTCTAGAATCATAAAACATCAAATATGATGGCATATTAAATAAAATAAATTAATTATTTTAAAAAATTAATATCAATAAAATAAAAATGTTCTCAAAAAATTTATTCAATTAACTGAAAATAAGTGATTTTAAATTATAGATATTATGTTCTAAAACTTTAAAAGAACATCATTGTAGAACGTAAAAAGGTCAATATGTTCAATTCCTGAATCTTTGGTTTCATGCGCAAGGTTGTGTGCTTTTTAGTTTAATATTAGAGCAATGGGAAAAAGATTAAGGTTAATGAGATGGTGTATGTAACCGTGATTAAAATAATTAATATATATAATATTATAATTTTTAAAAAATAAAAAATTTAATTATTAAATAATATAAAATTTATTTTTTAATATTATAAATAATATAATTTTTGTTTTCATTTTAAATTGTAATATAATTTATCAATAATTTAAATAATTTAATAATAATTTATTTTTACTAAAAATAAAAAATTTTAATTCCAAATGGTATAGCATGCGATAGAATATATATAACATGGGGAGGATGAAATAAGAGACGAGGGGTGGTTTAATCCCGTTTTACAACTTACATAAAAGGAAAAAATTAGTACGATTTATGGACGTCAGACTGTCAGAGTGTACTTGGATAATTGGATTTCTGTCTGAGTCTCCCAAGCCCCCCTAATAAAAATGGCTGCGACCGCCTCACATTCATTGCATTCTAAAAGAAACTGCACTTTCATGACCAGAACACATGGCAACTCAAATATGTGCTTCTGGCTCTTCAATTCTTCTACTTCTCATTGTCCTTTCTCCATTACTATTCTCAAATGTTTTTGGGTATGGATCTCTTGGTCCAATCGCCGCCGCATTTGGCGATAATGGATTCTTTTGTGCGGTGGATGCTGGTGGGAAGCAGGAGATCATATGTTGGGGTAAGAGCAATCAATCTTCAACCTCCACGTTAACGGAGTTTTTCCCACCAATGGCTGCTCTCTCTGGTGGCGAGGGATTTCTTTGCGGCATTACAGCGAACACCTCTCAAGCATTTTGCTGGGACTTGTTGAATCCGGGTATGGATCTTGTCCCTACAGCATTTAAATACAATTCATACTCCCAAATTGCGGCGGGTAAAACCCATGCTTGTGCTATCAGAGGATCTTATTTTTCTGGTTCTGATAATTTTGGTTCCGTTGATTGCTGGCATTTTCATCGAATATTTAATAAAAATGTTAGCTCGAGTGTTGTTAGTAGTACTAATACCCTGTTTCGTGATCCATACACTGATAAGGCGGTGTTTAAGATAATTGTTTCTGGGGATGGGTTTAGCTGTGGTGTTGTGAAGGACGGTGGGGTTTTTTGTTGGGGACCCAAATCAAGCAATTTGGGAGTTTCAACCATGTCTGGCGATTTTCGGATTTTGGCTTCAGGAAGAAGTGCTGTTTGTGGGATTTCTAATGTTTCTAGTGAAGCAGAATGCTGGGGTGATTCTAATGAATTTGGTGATCCGCCTATTGGTACCAGGTTTGTGGGCTTAGCGGCAGGGGCGAATCACTTTTGTGGCATCCGTGAGGATGATCATGGAGTTGAATGCTGGGGAAACATTGATGCTTCTTCAGTTCCTAAAAATTCTGGGTTTATGGCAATTTCTTCATCTGATTTTACCACATGTGGGGTTCGAGAGGTGGACTTAGTTCTCAATTGCTGGGGCATTCATGGACTGTCCCCACCAGATTACAGTCCTCCATTGCAGCTATGTAGTCCTGGTGTGTGTTCTCCAAGCTCATGTCCTGATGGGAAGTTTGCTTTCAATGCAAGCATCCTTAATGAGCCTGAACTAACAAGTTTGTGCGCTCAGAAAGACTTGAGCATTTGCTTGCCTTGTAGAACAAGTTGTTCCCCAGGCTATTTCCCTTCCACTATTTGTGGTGCAAATGCAGACACAACATGCACTGCCTGTTCCCTTTGCCAGAACAGCTCTTGCTTGGATATTTGCGGCCTTTCTCCTTTGCCTGAGACCAAGAACCAGGAGCAGCAAGAGCTTAAAAGATTCATACTCATCATTGGATCTTCTGTTTCCGGTGCCTTACTAATTTTAATTGCATGCTGTTTTATCCCGAGAGTGGTCCAAACTAAAGATGAGGAAAGGGGTTTTTGTTTAAAGAAACCAGTTGTGAAGGCAGAACCTGACGCCATCCCAGTACCAACTCCTACAACAGTTGCTTCTTTTGGAGAGACTCAAGTCTTCAGGTTGTCAGAACTGAAAGACGCAACACATGGGTTCAAGGAGTTCAATGAGCTTGGCCGGGGGAGCTTTGGCTTTGTTTACAAAGCTGTTCTGCCTGATGGCAGACTAGTTGCTATCAAAAGAGCTAATGCTGCCACTATTATTCACACCAACAACAGGGATTTTGAAGCAGAGTTGGAAATTCTAAGCAACGCAAGGCATGTCAATATAGTAAACTTGTTGGGGTATTGCGCTGAAATGGGGGAAAGGTTACTTGTTTATGAATACATGCCTAATGGAGCATTACATGACCATTTACATGGAGAGCTTTCTCCTTTAGGTTGGGACCTGAGGTTAAAGATTGCATTACAAGCTGCTAGAGGACTTGAGTACCTTCACAATGAAGCCAATCCCCCTATCATTCACCAGGATGTGAAGACTGAAAAGATTCTTCTGGACTCCGAATGGTGTGCAAGAATCGCAGATTTTGGGATTGTAGGTAGTGCCAATGACAGGGATGCGACGAGAGATAAGGAGAATGATGTTTACAGTTTTGGAACCGTTTTGCTTGAGATATTGAGTGGGAGGAAAGCTTATGACCGGAACAGCACTCTCCCTGGAATCGTAGAGTGGGCAGTGCCATTGATAAGAAAGGGAAAGGCAAATGCCATCATTGATCGTAACATTCTTCCTTTGCCAAAGAATGTAGAGCCATTGCTTAAACTTGCCGAATTGGCTGAGCTTTCTTTGAGGGAAAATCCCAGTGAACGTCCCACCATGACCAACCTAGCAAGTTTGTTGGATCAGATTGTGAAGACTGGATTGATATTGTAAATAACACCCAATCAAGATTCAAAAAGGATCTAGTTATTGCTTCTTTTCTTCCATACTTAGCTCTTTTTTTTCTTACATATTTGTAACTCTCCAAAGTTGTTCTTTTGAGAGAAAAAATCAGAAGAGATCATGCATCAATGTCTGCTGTTTCTGGAGTTGATAAATGACCACAGAAACAGGCTCATTAAATTTATGGACCGAACATATAGTAAGACTAAGAAAGTGTGGCTGCCCCAATCAACTCGCATTTTGATTTGAGTCTAATAATATAGCATTAGCAATTTAGCATGTCCACAAATAGAAAGGCCAAAAAGTACCATGTTTTTTAGGGCGCGTAAGTACCAATTCATAAGGCAAAGACACAATAAAGCTGAAGGGGGAAGCCCAATAAGCTCCATGCTAAAACACAACTAGCAAAGCAACAGCGAATAAGAAAGGCCATGGACCCAGCCATGAACACCATATAACTTTACTACCAAAAAGCAAAACGCAGCAATGATCAGATTCAGATATATATATTTTTTTTATCAGAAATAATTTTTACGCTATACTGCAAATCCATCCCAAAATTTCAGGGGATGTTTGTCTTGATATTTTGTAAATAGTTATTAGTTATTAATTTTAGTTAAAATAGATTAGATACTCTATTTTATATATAATAATAATTATTAATCATCATATATGAGTTATTAGTCATATTTAAACAATGAATTCAAATATCCTTTTAAGTATTTGGAGTCTCACTCACTCAAAAACTATCATGTTACAGTTTGGTGTACTCAGACCAAAAACATTCTTCTTTTTTCTTCTTCTTCTTTTCTTTCTTTCTTTTTTTTTTTTTTTTAAACAGATTAAATACTCTATTTTATTTATAATAATAATTATGAATCATCATATATGAGTTATTAGTTATATTTAAATAATTAATTCAAATATCCTTTTAAGTATTTGGAGTCTCACTCACTCAAAAACTATCATGTTACAGTTTGGTGTAATCAGACCAAAAACATCCTTCTTTTTTCTTCTTCTTTTTTTCTTT